CTGATGATCTGATAAAGCTGATCAAGATACACAGATCATAATCTTTTGACCTGATACTGTCTATCGTTTTCTTTTTTCTTTTCTTTTCTTTTTTTTTAAACTTGTTCATAACTTGATGGTAAACCTAAATTAGACCATCATGTTACCCTATTTGTAATCCTCCCCAAATTAATGAGAATCCACAATATTTTATTCACGAGATCAAAACAATAACCAATGTGACTACAGTTAAATAATGTATTCCACAGAAAAAATAATATTAAATCCAGTAACAAAGGTCTAACCAGTGGCTACTACACTATCGTGTAAGACTTAGACTCTTAACGAAGCACCTAACATCCAGGATCCATTGAACATGTGAATAGATACACGGAATTCATGGAAAACAGGTTGATTAGCACACAATTTTTAATTATATAATAAATGAATTGTATATATGACATATTGGTAAACCCCGATGAATTATTACCGTGTCTAAAGAATGATAAAAGATTAAGATTAAAGGTACAAATTGAGAGCACTCTCTCAGTACAAGGGGTAAGGCTTCTAACAAGGTAAGCACTTGTTACATAATATCTCGAATTATTCTCACATTTTGATTGATGCTTACTTATTATCAAATGAATATAAAGACAATTCAACAGGTTTTTATATAAAGGTTTTACTCTATTACATGCATCTCTCTTAAAATCTTACCGTCTATCAACATATTCCACACCAGCTTGAGGGAACAGCCACCGTATTCTCCACAGTAGGCAGTTTTCTCTAATTAAAATAATGCACATTGTGTGAGATCACAGTAAATTTACTATATCATGCATTGTAAACTTCGAAGTCTAATACCTTGAACTTCATTTTAAAACCCTCACAAAACATTCTCGAATGCCAGTGGCTTGAAGGCAGGGGTGTAGCAAGCATATACGCACCTATACGCACGTGCGTATCTCCAACCATTTTACGATAAGAAAATATTAAAAAAGCTGCTCACTTCAAACGAGACAAGATCAAGGAACTTACCTTGATCTTGTCTAGGTTCAGTACTGAGGGTCCTGAAGTTCAAATCCATCTTAATGATTGCGTTTTACGCTGTCATCACCCATCACTACGACCATGACAAAATTAAAAAAAAAATACAAAACACAAAATTGATCGAAATCCATCAGTTGCAAAATGTAGACTTCACCTTCTGAACTCATTGGAATGTTCTGCTGCAAAACTATTGGACGAAACTCTTGATTACTGACTACTTGTAACTAGCCCTCAGTTTGATCAAGAAATATGTGGCTCTTACAACTTTTCTGATGTACCCTGTTTCAACCTGCACTACTGCAAGTACAGTCAAACCTCTATTATGCGGTCACCCTCAGGAAATAGCCAGGTGACTGACTGCTCAATAGAGGTTTGACTGTTTAAAAAGAGATGATCAAAATTTAGCCGATTAATGACAAAAAAAAATAAAAAATTAAACAAAAGTAAGCCCACAGTCTACATTTATTGTTCGTAACAACTGTAACGTGAAATATGTGTAAGAAATCCACCCACTAGCTAACAGTTTCTAGAGCAATGTTGTTCATAAGGCAAGCGTCGAGCGCCTTTCCCTTAAGCGAATCATTGACAGATTTGGCATCTCATTCGACATGAAGTGAAAAAGTCAGTTGTTTTCGTTTGTGATTTTGGGTTGCGTAACTTAATTTGGTGAAGCATGTCACTGACTTTGTTCAGCGCTAATACTAGCGAAAGTTCCTCGTGACCATAAAACTGTGCTCTGGTGCCAATTGGGAAGTCCAAATGGTGACCGCGTCTGCTCAACAGAGGTGACCCCTTAATGGAAGTCAGATATACAGTAAATATGCCAAGCGAATTTCGGGAATATGAATGGTGACCTCTTAATAGAGGGTGACCAGTAGTATAGGAGGGACCGAATTAACCCCTTTTATCCGGTGGATTCTCATTAGCGTGCGGTGGAATATGTTAACGGTAGTGACGTCATAGGCTATTGTCTTGATCTCATGAATAAAATGCGGTGGATTCTCAGCATCGTATAATCAGTTTCACTGGTTTATCAATGACACCATGTTAAATTTTTATCTTATGGCAGTCATGGTCGGTATAACATGTTTGACAAGTTTTTCAAGTGTTTTGTGAGGTTTTGCTTTATTTTAGATCAGTCATGTTCAAAAGCCTATAAAAGCTCTTCCACCACCAAGCGCATCATTCACAGTTCAGACATTGTGTGTTTGTCTCGCAACACGAGTCTAACTTTCTCCATGCTTCGAATCCATTTTTTTTCCGTATTCCGCTTAGTCGCTTGAAATATCAAAATTGTTATTGACAAAATAGCATTTCTTAAGAAAAAGAAATTGTGATTTACCAGGATCTGACATCTCCAAGCTCAAGAATTTGCATTGGGAAGTCTTTCCTGGGGTAGGTTATTGGTATTTCTAAGTTTCGTGGAGCAGCTAGAATTGATCAAAGAGGAATGGGAGCTATTATCTCACTTTTCGTTCCCACTCTTACTTGGAAACCGACATTTAAGCATAATGTATGTCAGTAAGCTTCAGGATAAATATTTTGAGAACAAGTATTCATCTTCTTGTCATCTCCGGAAACTATTACGAATCTAAGTCAATGACTACAAGATCATTAGTACAGTAAAAACCTGCATAAAAGAACAAGTGGATTCAGACCACTGCTGAAATTTGGTCAAAAAAGTACCATATACGTAAGAACACATTAAGCCTGAAAGATGAAAATTGTTCTTATATATATATATATATATATATATATATAAAATTGGCTGCCAGTTAGATTAGAATAACCTTCTAGGGTACAGTACTGAGTACAGTACTGAGTAGATCAATACATGTGCTATACATTAATTAATTAAACTGTTGTGCTTGCACATTGATTTCATCTGTTGGTAGCTTATGCAATATTTAATTTTAGAAACAAGTTTAAGAACACCTTAAGAACATTTTCAGTCTGCTTTTGCAGAAAATACCCGATAAATAAGAACAAAATCAGCCTGAAACCCCAAAACACGTGTTCCTTTATGCGGGTTTTTACTGTAAGTCAAGTCAATTTAAACCAAAAAAATTCTAGCTCTAACATTTTAGGCCAAATTTAATGATTACTCACGAAAGAGGTAAATCAACTTGCGCGCCCATTTACAAAACGTATATAAGATGTCGATTACTATTACTACCGTTAATGTATTCCACACACACACACACAAAACTCAGTAAATCCACAAAAAAAAGGACTAACTGGTCCCTCTTATACTACTGTGACAGCTTGACAGGGTCTGGGCTATGTTATGAGCGAGTGAATGGATGAGCGAGTGAGTGAGTAAGTGGGAGATGTATGCATGTCACACCAATCAGATTGTGGCTACTAAAAACAACCAATCAAATTGCGGCTTGTAAAGGTGACTCGTGTGTGAAGATTTCATCCTGATTCTTGTATTGGCCTTACTCTGACATTGCTGTCGCTGCGTTTACTATGACTAAGCCCAGCACTTTGTAGACGGGTTTCAAAAGAGTTCAGAATTCCATAATCAGCTCAGGAATGATAGTTTTTGGCATACACTAACATGTCAGCTAGGCTTTGCTTTGGGCATTACATGAAGTTTCGAATGAAATGGGTCTTAACCACTCGACAGCTTGGTGATTTCTAGGAGAGGAATGATTGTTTTCAGTGTAAAATGCACTATTGGGATAATGACGGGGGCTTTCGTCCGTGATGGTATCGCCAGGTTCCCATCTATATAATTTGCATTATGTGCAGTATATGAAAAAAGAATGAAGTCCAAACCATTTATGTTCGCACAAAATGTTTCAGTTCCTGAATGCAAGTCTCAATTAAGGTCATTCCACTGAAATAGAACCTGCACTGAAATTTTTGTGAAACTTTACCTATTGATTGTTTATATTATAGGAACTTAAATTTTGAAATAAAAATGAGGGGTCCCCTTGTTCGTTTAGGAGCAAAAGCACCTTGTTTATACCCAATAAATCCTTATAATAGCACCATGATTGTAGTCACGATTGCTTACTAAATTCACGTTTCCGACGACTGTTTCTTGTTCTACACTGAGAATTGGTCCATATTGATAGGTGATGATAGGTCACCATACTCGTTGCGATTATGACGAAATGACGATTTACCTCTATGGCGAGGCCCAGCCGTAAAGAAAAAACCGCCATTTTTTAATGCGCGCGCGCTAAGCACGCGTGAAATTATGCGCAGTAGGGATGCGCAATGCAACACTGGGAAATGACCTTAAGTAGCGCTGTTCACAGAGTAATACTGTCTTGTCATTGAAATGTTTCTTGGACTCGATACTGAGATACTCATTTGAAGTGGTTTTCTCTGTTAAAACCAAAGGAATTACGGATGGCTAGTTATGATTGAAAACACTGCTGAGTTTTGAAATTTGTTTTTTGCTGCAGGTAAATGTAACAAGATATTTTTATTTGTAAGTTTCAAGTGGTAACTTGATACTTTTGTTTTTCACGCACAAGTGGTTACAATCAAAACTGACGAACCAGTTACTCTAGTTCACACGGCCAGACTAAACAAACAAGAAGCTCATTTATTGGAATGTCCAGAAACTTTAACTTGCTATAAATGTTGGGACGTTTCCTTTGTTAGTGTCTTTAGTGGCATTTTAATATCTTGCATTAATGGCAATTCTTTAAAACGGGAATTTTAAACAGAGATTTTCTTAGACGTTTGTGGCAGGTAAACTCTTCAATATTCCTGAAGACTTCATGGCAGCAAGTTAAGGATGTTCGCGCTAATTGTTTCTGCGCATCCTTATGGTGCATGCAAATTCACACGCCAGGTTATGCATAATAATCAAATAAACAATAGTAGGGCAGATGGCCACTGCTATAGCTTTGCCTGGGTTTAACGATCTTAGATGTTTCGAAGTGTACGAAAACATCTATCCCAAAGGCTCTCAACCAGCAAGAATTTATGGCCTCCCAAAAATGCACAATGATTTTGGACCTAACTCAACTCCGCCATTTCGCCCCATCGTGTCTTCTATTGGAACCTACAATTATAACCTGGCCAAATATCTATGCAATCTTTTGGCG